GCGACGGGTAACGTTATCACTAAATTTTACGGGCAACTCGGCGACAGTTCATTACGAGCTAAGATATAACAGCATCAATAACCCGTTTCATCGCTAAGGGCTTGTGTCCGTACAATATAGTGGAGGGGGAAGGATTTCAGGATTTGATTCATACGTTAGAGCCCAGATATAAGATTCCGTCCCGGCAGCATATCACAAACACATGCATGCCAGCGTTGTATGCCCAAGTGAAGAGCCAAGTTGAAAAAGAATTGGCACATGCAGAGCGAGTTGCTGTTACAACCGATGCCTGGACGTCATGCTTCACTGAGTCTTATGTGACCATCACTGTCCACTACATCTCTCCAGACTGGAAGTTAAATGTGCATGTGTTGCAAACCAGGGTATTCAAAGGATCCCACACCATGTAAAATACTTGTGCTCTGCTAAAACAGGCATGTGTTGACTGGAACCTTCTTCATAAAGATCCAGCCCTGGTGACAGACAATGCCACAAACATGGTATTAGCTGGAGTGGAAGCAGAGATGACCCCTCACCTCATGTGCTTTGCACACACTATTAATCTTGCCACACAGAAAGCTTTTAAAGTTGACACAGTAGCAAGGTTGCTGGGAAGAGTGAGGAAAGCGGTTGCCTTTTTTCATCATAGTGTGAGGGCAGCAGAAATCCTTCAAGAGAAACAGAAACAATTGGCTTTGCCTTCCCACAAACTCATCCAAGATGTATCCACGCGGTGGAATAGCTCCCATGACATGCTTGAACGCTTTTTTGAGCAACATCCTGCGATTTCTGCAGCACTCATGTCCAGGGACCTCAGAAAAGGAGAAGAGGTGAATACTCTCAAGGACTAAGACTTCTACGACATTGAAGACATTGTCAAACTGATGGCGCCAGTCAAACTTGTGACCACCAGCATGTCTGAAGACAAGCGACCCACACTCTCAATGATTCTTCCTGTAAAAGCAAAGATTAAAAAGAACTTTGAACCATCAGACCCTGGGACCCTGTGTACACAATTTCGTTCCACCACATGTACATGTGGTGCGAATGACAAATAAAGAAACATATATATGCATGCAATGTGTGTGCATGTGTGTAAGTTATAAACCTGGGAAAAGAATGGTCTTGCACAGCTTTTTCTCTGTGTTGCCACTCTAAATCAATGAGGCATCTTCTATGACTTTTGCCACATCCAATATGGCGGCGACGTCGACGTACGATTCAGCACTTGAGGCGTCAACGAACAGTTACCCGCTTTTTGAAGTCTCGTTGCTGTTCTCGCTTTAAAACGCGGGTGTTTGAGGAGCTTCTGCCACACGTTGCTGGCACCAACAAACTCCTTTAAACCCGTTCCATTTAGCTTCTCTACGGCGCCACAGAAAGAAACACATTAAAAACGCATAAACCCGCCGGAAAAATGTCAACACATGAGCAGTAGTGACCTTGTGACAGAGCCATGGTGCAGGGAAACGGCCTCGTGTTTACGTGGAGTAAATCAGATTGTGGGGGGAGTTGGTAAGAAGGAGCGAGAAGAATGAAAACACGCAAATAATAAGACAAGAACTGGGAAAAAAACGGCTAAACAGTTCTATAAGAAATTAAAACAATTAAATTAAGTTTTTATGGCTGCAAAAGATATAAAATGAAATCAACTTACCCTATCCACTTCTTATAACTAATGAAAGTTTAGTCTTCAACCACACTTCAGCCAGAAAACTCTTCTATCTCCAGCATAAACAAAAAAATAAATAAATAAATTGCTATTCCAAATGAAAAGCTTCCTCATGCAATCTAAGCAAGACCTCCTCTCTGCAAAACTTTACCCAAGATCTGCTCCTTCTTATGCCTGAGGAATGAAGCAGGGAGAGGAGGAAGAGGGTGCTGCGGGGGAGGGGTGCCACTGGAGCTACTCCCAAAAATCACCCAGAGCTGTCCTGCACAGTTCCACCAGTCAGAGGGCTACACTGTGCTGCTGCGGTGTTTATTTCCATACACCCTGCTGCCAGCACTGATGTTCAGGGGTCAGTTTTGTATGAACCATGTCTGGTTCTCTACGTTTAAAACAAGCAGTAGCAAAAACAGTGAGCTTGTTGTTCTGGGGAATCAGTTTGCGGACTGCTATGAGAGGCTGTAAACAGTGGTGTGCTTTCAGGGACAAATTAGTCCCTCGCAGAGGTAGTTTTCCTCTCAGCTTATATGAAAACAGTCATGGGGAAAGAGAGAGAGAGAGAGAAAAGGCCAAGCATGATGTGTTCCACATGCTCAGATTGTGTTGTATTACTTGCATATGACTCACCATGCCACATTTCAGCTCAATATCTGTAAAACTGACCGAGCTGCAGCCGTTCTATTTATTAATGTCGATAAACTGTGGCGACTATTTCGAAGCAGGAAGCATTAAAGTTGACCCAGTGGTTCATGAGATGTTTGGCCAACACACAAGCTTGATCCCAGATCATGTTAAAGCAAAGCCGAGGTTTCGTGTAATGCGTTACACACGGAGTATGTGTTGTGAATGATCCTCAGCTTCAACACCAAATGTTAGGTTTCAATAAAGTTTGTCCAGGGGTTCATGAGAAATGTCGGAAATAGTCACAGAAATAGGCAAAACCTTTCAAGTGCATTTGCTGGTAGGCAGGGGCGATTCTAGAATCTGACCTTTAGGGGTGCTTTGCCCCCAGTGCTGACAATGACTCTTGGCTTGAACGAGGTGGCCATTGCTGTCAGAAGCATTCATAATGTCGGGGGGACAGAGGTCTGGGGGTGAATAAAGTAGACACAATTCCTTCATTCTGGTGTATTAACAGGTTGTTAAACAGTTTACCTACATAAGTAAACACTTGATTAAATAACTATTTTAGAGAGCACAACAAGAATTAGCGCTAAGCTAGCAGCGTGCAATACAGACACACTAGCTAAGATGCTACAGCCGTATCGCTCTGCTTTACATTACACAACCCAATAAACACTTTGTACAAAATCAGTTTAACTGATCATAACAAACAAAAACTAAACTTGTCCAACCAGAAGTTGCGACATAACTATATCTACGGTACATACAAAACACCCAAAACAAAGCACAACTAGCTTTAATCACCTTTAATTTAAACATTAGGCGCAATGACGACAGAAAATGGAGGATTTACTTGCAGTTACCTCCATGAACATGTGGTACTTCCGGTTTATCACTGTTGTGCTCAGCTGTTCACGAGGTCGGCCGCAGGGCTTTATCATCTTTTATGTTTTTTCCAGACTCAGTTTATGTTTTTGAAATGAAATAAACTGTATTCATCCTCTAAAGCAGGGATATTCAACTAAACTGCTCAGGGGGGGCACAGTTACTGAAATCCAGCAGCTCAGGGGCCGGACATCCAGCAATTAAAGTCATTAAAGAGAACCCAAAATCCAAACTAGACCCCCACCCCCCAAAAAAGAAAAAAAAATACTTTATTTTTCAGGGGTGCTGATTTAAAAATTTTGAGTGCTTGGGCACCCCACAAAAAGAGGCTAAAATCACCACTGCCAGTGGGTTTTAAAAACTCAAACAGATTCATTTTTGTGAGACAAATACAAAGGTTGAACTTGCTGGAAGCAGGTTTGGTCTCATTGCAGTTGATTATCTGAACATTGAGGAATTTTGTTATTGTTCTCAGATGCTCTCCCACTCAAGGACCTTTTTCTTTCTTCCTCTAATCAGGTGGAAATGTTTTTCCCAGCTGTAGCAGCTGCACAGAAGGCTGCCCACATTGGAAGTTTAAAGTACGACATAATAAATAACTTGAACACACATTGTCAATAAATGTTTATTTGGTGGTGAGAACAGGATACTTTTAGTACCAAGCAGATTTTGAAAGTAGAGGTTGCAATCATAAACCTTGTTTAGAAGAAACATTGCATTTTTATTCTCCCACTAGATGGAGGTGTTGGACAAGATTGAGCCAAAACATCTTTTGGAAAAAAAAAAAAAAAAAAAAAGTGCAAAAACACCAGCTCAAGGAAACAAAAGAGGAAGTGGTGAAGTATGACAAGCAGAGCTGCAGACAAACAAACAAAAAAAAAAAAGACTGCCATCATCCTGTAAGAAGAAAACAGTTGTTAGCTGTGCTTTGTAGCAGCTTTTCATTCAGGGACAAATCTGCTTTTATTTGACAGGAAACGGTTCAATATTTACCTGTGTGGCAGATGTCTGTCGATGCAGCATCAGCATCTCTACAGGCCACTGCAGCGGAAGAGGAAAATTGCAGTTAGTGGAAATTACAGGCAATTCTGAAAGTAGCACTTTGCAAAAGAAGGCACACGCAAGAGCAATTTTTAGGGGTGATACTCTTGTTCTTTTAAAACAATGATACAACTTAGAGCAAAAGAGACATTTGGGGAAACTCAGGTCTGGCTAGAGGCTAGGACCCAACGAAACTGAAGACACGTTCTTAAATTAATATTGCACCCAGATGAGTCTTAAGTGTCTGGGATGACAAGCAGTGATTGGATTGCAAGCTTGGTAGCGCTTGATGGCCAAGCCTGTCAGCCTCACCTGCTTTTTAATCAGTAATTACCATAGGGGATTCTCTGGCATTTCTTAATTAAATTGAGCCACATGCAATTAAAATCCACACTCCTATTCCCTTTAAAAGGGCTCAGTGGAGTTCTTGTTTAGTTCTTGCTGTTAAGAGTGAGTGCTCGAATGGCCATAGCACCATCCCACCTTTCACCAATCTGTGCTTGATTTGTTTTAATGCTCAAAAGGTGCCTGAAGAATAGAGCGTTATATTTGAACAAATGAGAATAGACAAGCAGGTGTTGTTGTTGGACCTTAAAGGTGCCAAGAATGTAAATATTGGAAAGAGTTTTCAGGGCATAAATACCATGACCCCATAGAAAAGTACAGTAGGCCCTCGTTACTTCGCGGTTCAACTTTTGCGGACTTGCTATTTTGCGGTTTTTCAAAGTAAGATTGTACATGAGGAAAAAAAAATTGTACATGACACACGATTGCCAGCTTAATTAAACTCACGTGATTGGGACAGTATTAGGTACTGTACAGTAAAAAGTTCATGAAAAAAATAGGCGCTGTAATTTTGTAGTTTTCGCTCAGTAAGCCTACATTTTATCGCCACTCAAAATGACTACATTTCCCAGGAGGCAATAGCACCCCCACCCAGAAGCAACAGTTCTTCCAGCTGTTGCTTTCTGCTGAAATGAAGGGAAAGTTTTGATCTGATCCGAAAATGTTCGATCCTTATCCATAATGACTTTGGTGTCCAGCAGATTCAGAAAATCACACGGAACCGACCGGGAACCAGACCAGAACCGGACCTCCAGACTCATCGGTGAATCTGAGTGCCCACGAGGCCTTCCGAGCCGGGAGACGCCGCCTAGAGGTCCGCTGCTCTCTCTGGAGCCCATCGGGACTCCCTCATCCGGATTTGAATTCAGTCGGGATCACCGTCTCGTCCCGTGCTGACCATCCGAAGGTCCTGCTCTCTCTAAAAGTGTTTTGGTGCTCAAGGGCTGCAGAGAGAAAACCAGAACAGGCAGGGTAGGTCTGCCAAGCTGGACCGGAACCGAGCCTCTGTGTTCTGCAGAGCTAATTTTGCAGTACTCTACAGTACATATACATATGTTGTTAAAATGACGTAGGTTTAAGAGAACATTGTAAGAGTGTGGGAAGGGTTTAAAAATCCTTAATATATATATATATATATATATATATATATATATATATATATATATA